AAGCTGACACTGAGCTGAATTAAACTGCATAGTAAAGACTGAGATATTAGAAGTAAGTGGTTAGAAATCTGAGAGACGGTAGACATGGATTCAGGAGGCCCAGTATAACATGAGGAAAAGGCAGAAGAGGGGGGACCCTCCCTGCCATGGGAGCTTGGGAGGGAGAGAAACTTAAGTGATGAGACATGAAGAGATGGGGATCTAGTGTTGTCCTTGAGATTTAAACTCTCTCCTCCTTGTGCCTTAGGAAATCTTCAGCAAATTCAATATTTCTCATTGATTCTGTATTTGTTAAAAAACCCATTAAGTAGGTGTGTATTTTGGGGAAATGATTTATGGAGAGAGGTGAGGGAACTACTGATATTTGGATTACAAAACAATTTATTATTTTCATTAGAAAATGCCTATGTAAGGTTTATATATTTTTGGGCAACTAAATTTCTTATTCTTTAATGAAGTAATGTGTCTTTACAAGTGAATAAGAAATTGCTTACTATGTTTCAGTTGGTTGGTTCGATGTTTAATGTTCTCTCACTTTTCTTCTCTTCTGTACTTTTTAGAAAGCAGTCCATGCCCTTCGTCATAGGTAAGAGATGCATATGTCCATAGTCAAATAGGAAGAGCACTAAGAAAAGATTTGCCTGCCCCAGCAATTATAATCTATCATAGAGGGACACAGCATAACACTTGTACCAAGAAGACTGTCCAATGGAGGGCAAGCCTGATTTGAACGACTTGGTGAGATGCTTCAGGAATTCAGAGGGCAGAAGAGCACAGCTTTTTGTTTTTTTATTGTTGTAAAAATGAATATAATACAACATTTGCCAGTTTAACATTTTTCATGTGTACAATTTAGTGATGTCACTTACGTTAAACATGTTGTGCAACCATCACCAACATCTGTTGCCAAATTTTCCATCACCATAAGCAGAAACTCAATGCTTCCTAAACAATGACTCCCCTTTCTCTCCTCCCTCCCATTCCTGGTAATTACTAATAAACTTTGTTCAGAAAGCACAGGTTTAAGGTTATGGTTAGCTAGACAAGAAAGGAGGGGGACAGTTCCCAAGAGATGTTTTATCCGCTTCAAAATGAATGTAAAAGGAAGGACATAAGTTTCAGGTTTAATTCCCAGTTACATTTACATTTCAATTGAGACTTTTTTTTTTCCTCTTCTAAATGCCATCCAGTCCATTCCGACTCATAGCGACCGTATAGGATAGAGCAGAACTGCTCCATAGAGTAGAACTGCCCCTTAGGGTTTCCAAGGCGAGA